AAATTAGCATACAGCAGCTCCATTACTTTAGGATTCCCCATGCTTCTGGAATACTATCGCCAATAGCGCCCATGGTCCGCTATGGTATCAAAGTTTTGCTGGCTGGTCTCTACGAGTACTCAGAGGGTAAGAGGACTAAAGAGGAACAAATTCCTAGTCCAAGCCCAGCTTTGTTTACCTAGTTTAGCGTGTACGGAGGCGCAGCTCTCGAGTTTTGTATGTCCTACAATCCAGATGTGTTCGGCTGCCCGGGGGTTCCTAACGCACATCGCGTAAATTTCAGCGCGGATTAGGTAACTTTCACTAGAAATTGCCCAATTTTCTGCCTATACCCGTGCTAACCCAGCACCTCTTGCCGGCAAAATGTAGACTACAAAACTTGGGAGTTGTACCTCCATATGTCCGTTTTCCGTTCGCGAATCACGTCCCGAGCCAAGCTTGAAACATTGGGGCTTAACAAAACAGATAAGCTTTATTTTTGCTTTTCCGGGAAATGAATCTTCCAAATACCTCAGAGTTAATTCCCACAAAGGGCTGGGTGAAGCGGAATTTCTCGGTGTGCTGTTTGCGCAGAGTCATAAGGGCTGGTGAATGGGTTTGGAATATGCGCATTAAACCCTTTAAGCCCTTTCTTGGCCCATCTACATGTGTGATAGGCAAGGCTGCTATATCTGTTGGGTGAGGTGGGGCGGAGCAGGTTCTCGGGGTGCTTGTAGACCGTGTTCGGGGTCTGGTATTTTGGCTATCAAGATACAGAACAGGCTCCGCCCAGCCCAAACCACGGCACGAGGCCCATGGATAAACAAGGTTTCGTGGTGTAGTTGGTAGTACACCAGGTGAACGTTGGAAAACTGTCGACTTCTCCCCCGCTAAACCTAACTTAGTAAATCTTGGTGGGGGCTAATATAAGCAACTTGGCAACCAAACTGGGGTGATGATACATTGCTGGCTACAGCCTTATGCGAAACTAGAGCGGCGACGCACAGTGATCAGAAACAAGTGGGTTTTCTTCCCCTGTTGTATCCGTGGTCAGCAGCTCGAGAAGAAGGGCTTTAGCTCCGAAAGCCTAACCAATGGGATAGATTCACGGTTTTTGGAAGTCAGTGAGATGGATTAGAGAAGCAGTGCATCGGAGATTGCATTGATATCTATTATGACACGTAGGGAAGGTTACGTGCATGCGGTACAGACTAAATTGTTGAACATCCACCCGCCATCGCTAATTCAAGTGCTGTTACCCTACAGAGATCATGGATACCCGGTCTAACATCGTCTCGATAGCAAATTTACTATCTCCTTATGCTTCCGCTTTACAGCCCACGTGAGGGGTGTTCGGCCGAACATGGTGTCTGCAGTGTTGGGATTAACGTCCTCCCGTCCTAAAAGCAGCTTTACTACCCCTTTATGGCCTCTATTCGCAGCCAGCAGGCTGGGTGTTCGGCCAATCCTCGTGTCAGCAATGTTAGGATTGATATCCTCGTGTCCCAAAAGCAAATTTACTACCCCATTATCCCCGTTACTAGCGGCCCACAAAAGCGGTGTTAGACCCAATAGAGTGTCTGCAGCGTTGGGGTTGATATGGTCTTGTCCCAAGAGTATCTTTACAACTTCTTCGTACCCGTTCTTTGCAGCTCGCCAGAGTGGTGTTCGGCCAAATATTGAGTCTCCGGTGTTGGGATTGATATCCTGTTTCTCCAATTGCGCTTGAACTACTGCCTTATGCCCGTTTTCCGCAGCCCATGAGAGTGGGGTTTTAGCATATCCAATATCGGGGGTGTTGTGGCTGGCGTGGTGTCGCTCCAATAGCAATTCCACCACCGCGTAGTGTCCACCTTCTGCAGCCGGGTTGAGTAGCCACCACCTCCTATAGTGGTGCCAAGTATATCCTCCTTGTCCAATAGCAACTTTACGACTCCTTCATTACCATTCGCAGCAGCCCGTGTGAGTGGTGTTTCGCCATATTTGGTGCCAGCAATGTTGGGATTGACATCCTCTCGTCCCAAAAGCAACTTTACTACTCCCTCATGTCGCCCCCTCACAGCCCACAAGAGCGGTGTTTCGCCCAATTCTGTGTCTGCAATGTTGGGATTCACATCCTCTCGTCCTAAAAGCAACCTTACTACTGCCTCATGCCCCTTTCTCACAGCCCACAAGAGTGGTGTTTCGCCAAAATCGGTGTCTGCAATGTGGGGATTCACATCCTCCCGTCCTAAAAGCAACCTTACTACTGCCTCATGCCCATTCTCCACCGCCCATGAAAGTGGCGTTCTGCCGGTTTTCGTCTCGGCCGCGTTGAGATTGATATTTACCCGCTGCAATAGAGCCTTTACTACACCTTTGTGCCCTCTCTTCGCAGCCCATGCCAGTGGTGTTAGGCCTGATCTTGCGTTGCCAGTGTTGGGATTTATATCCTTCCGTCCTAAGAGTAAAATCACTACACTCTCGTGACTACCCCGAGCAGCCCACGAGAGCGGCATCCGGCGATATTTTGTGTCTACTTCGTTGGGATTAATATCCTCTCGCTCCAATAGCAGCTTTGCAACTCCCTCATTTCCACTCTTCGCAGCCAACCAGAGTTGCATTCTGACATCTTCCATATCTGCGGTGTCGGCCCTCACCTCACCCCACAATAGCGGTGTATTCACAACACCTCCATAGTTGACATCAGGCGCGTTACCCAAATATGGACTGAGAGCGGAGTCCATAGTGGTCTGTCTATACTGCGGTCTAACGCAAATAGGATGGTAGGGTATCTTCAGCTAGTGATGGCGTCTCAACAGTCTGCACAGAGTTTCTGCGGAGACAGAAGCCTAAGATTGAAATAGGTGTGTTGGGGCAGATGCCGTACGGTAGTGTTGATTATTGGAAGGCCGGGAAGTGGTTATGTGAGGAAGGGAGGGAAGGGGTGGAACGTGTTGCTTATACCCTGCTCTGAGAAAACAGTCACACAAGGCAAGCCACACAAGCCACGGCACATTACAAAGGTTAACCAGCCCTGGAAACAGCAGCTCCCACCGCCCAACGTAGTCGCGACGAAACTGGGGGGGGGGACGAACAGGTGTGTTTAGTATGATATGATAGTCCAAACAAGCAATCGTCGGGGTTAGGGTTACGAAATTACGTGTAATTGATCCCTGTCACTCTAAGAATTCAAATGGAGACTTGGGAGAGAACAAAAAGAAAAACCAAAAGAAAAGAAAAGGAAAAAACAAAGAAAAAAACTTAAACAAAGGAGTGCCCGAAAATGAAAAAAAAAAAAACTGCTTCCGCTAATAGTGCTCAACCAATCAAGTACAGCCATTCCTACCATCGTTGTAACATCCCGGGGCAAGGGGTATAGGGGAACAATTTCAAAACTCAAAGGTGCGGGATCGCCGATCGGGGGTAGCACGATCCCAGTCACCCACCGGGATATCCCAGAAACGGGAGAAAGCACGCTCCAGTACCCCCCGGAGTGTGGGTTCGCAGTGGAGCAACATTGATATAACATCCTCCGGGCCTATTTTGTGGGCCGCGGTGTTCCGTTCTTTCATGGTACTAACCCACTAACCATCACAGTTACTACCAGTTCGATATTCACCACACAATTACGGGGGTCAGTACAAACTGGCAACCTATTTCTGCTAATCCAATACAAATCTCGGTGGAGGACCAAGTTAGTTTTCCCGATTTTTAATGACTTTCCAAGTAGTTGAGAGGTTATTAAAAATCAGAAAATGTAACTCAGTCTCGACCCAGATTGGTATGGGATTAGCAGAAATGGTTTTCTGGTATGGACTGACCCCCCCCCGGGAATATAACCACCCAAAAGAGTATTAACTTACCAGGTCCACAAACCCATCGAGCTCCTCCGGCTTCTTACAGCCAAACTCGCGAAACCTCTTCCGCGAGTTTCGTATCCGTAAGGCTGTTTTTTTGTGTGCCCCTATAGGTGGGCCGGCCTTTGCCTTATCATATAAGGCTTTGAAAACAACGGCAGCAACAATGCTGGCCGTGCGAGCACAGTGTGCCTCGTTTTCGTTCGGCTCGTGTGGACTGGCCTCGGCCTCCTTCCGCTTCCTACGCTTCGCTTCTGCTTTCGGAGGACTGGCCTCGGTCGGCTCCCTCTTTCTCTTCTTCTGCTTGGCCTTCGGCCCCCCTGCCTCCAGTTTTGGTAGACTCGGACCTGCCTCGGCGCCCCCCACCCCCCTCTGCTCTTCGATTAACTCTGTGTGTGCTTTTAGTAACTCTTCGCGCTTTTGGAGCTGCTCATTGAGCAACTCGTTCTGGCTTCTGAAGAGTGCAATCTGCCCTGCAAGATGTGATTCTTTGAGCGCTCGGATTTGCCCCCCTTGTGCCTTCCTTTTCTTGCGTTTCCCTTCCGTTGCCTTTGCCGGAGACATGATATTCGGAATCGTCCTTGCTGATTGATGCGTATAGTATAATACAGACTCTCTCTTGGTATCCGAGGGGCTTGCTCTTTGGTGGCTCTCTGTTGAGTGGTGGGGAATTGTGTGGGTGATGGGGTGGTTCGCTAATGTACGATATACTAGCATCTCGTAAGCCATTCGTGGATGGGTATACGTATAATGAGTATGGAAGTCGTCACCAAAAGCAGCCCGGTGCTTGCGTGTATGATGCCGGCACCCCTGAACCAGCCCTGAGTCTCACGCCGAACTGAGGACACTAGTCCTAATGCGGTAGTATACCACGCCTAATTAGGAATTTTCTTGGCTAATTATTCAGCAAAACCTTTTTTCCTCATACAAGTCTCACTGCCCTCCTTCCCATAGAAACTTTGAAGTCATCTGGAGCCCTAACTAGAAGGCTATAAAGAAATCCCTCTCTAAATATATTCTAATAACTAATTAGGAAAGATGTAGACAAGGAATTTTAAAAATTTCGTCTGCAGGTGCTATTATTGTCACTTGAAATATTGGTCGATGTCATTGTCAAGGGGGCAGGTTCTAAGCTGTGGGCACCATGCCTTAAGAGGGAACTGTGATTAGTGTTCATTATATGGCTGCGTGGTATAGTTGGTTATCACATCAGTCTAACACACTGGTGGTCCTCAGTTTGAGCCTGGGTGAAATCATTTTTGTTACCCCCACAATACTTGCAAGGATAAATCAAGTCACTGCATTAGAACTGAAATTGAGGCAGCCCACCACGCTTTGGGGGATGAACTGTCCCAAACTAATACAAGAAAAAAGCTTTTTATCTCACCAAGGGCTTTGAGACTAATGAGGTACTGGTATACAATAAAAATATAAGAAAGCATCAGCTTTCCTGAATCCCACTTTTTCCTGACAGCTAGCCTTCAATTAAAAAGTCAAACATCTAGATCATATCACTTTATCCTATATATCATCTTCAGTTAAGAGTCATCCAATAACTCCCATATCCTAATTAATTAACTACTACAGTTAGCCACAAATCCAACATCCACCTAATATTATGTAACCCAAAGCTACACATAGAGTGTTCTGGATGAAAGTCTAGACTATAGTGCAAATAGCCAAACACTCTCAGTGTACAGTGCGAGATTCTGTAGTGTTAAAAGTATCTTTCCTTCACCTTGACTATGGGGATGAAGGAAGCGTTTCCTGAAATTGAGGGTCTAGGGAACTCTATAACCTCTAGGAGTAAGACAGGATATCCTGCAAGAATAGGCACTGAGATGTCCATCTTGCAGATCATTGTCAGTCGCTTTGTCAGGTACCCATTCTTTGCATGGGTAATACAGGAATTTGATAAAGTAGTGTATATCTAGTAATCCAGATATGTGGTTTGCTTGGGCTTAGAGACAGAAATGTAAACTGTGTTTTTCATCTCCAATGATGAGATTTTGAGACATCAGTGTGAATCAGCTCTTAAAGGTCTTAGTGATTTAGAGATACTATATGTAACGATCAGGCTGGAATAGTCAAGTATGTAAGTACGAGATCTAGGTTCGAATAATACTTCAAACACCTTCTTAGACTATCTGACTTGATAGATTGTTGTACATATTACTAGCAGCAAGGTGTAGATCAGTCAAAAGAAAAGATGCATTTAATAGGTCACTGGTGTGTCCTGACACAACGAATTTGTCTCCTGCATCCCCTGGGTCCTATGCACTCAGTCATCTGTTGCAATACCTTCTCACACCATGGCATTGGTTGCAATGCACTCTTGCATCCTAGTAATTTAGGGCTACCTCACTAGATTTACTTGTATCTTGATATGACCTGACATCAGATCCACATCTGGTCCCCATCAATGTATGTCTAGAGCACCCTCTCCAGAAATATACCTAGTATTTCTTGACCAGGATGTTACCTGGTCAGCTTCAGGTAAGCCAGGGTTCTTGAATTTTATGTTTCTACAAGCGCTGCTTGTATTTTCCACCCTTCAAGATTGAGGTAGTGGAAATGGACTTATGTTCTACTGTGAATCTGAGTAATAAGTGTGCTTCAGGGGTGGATGCCCTACTGCCCTGGGTACTTTGTTGTGATTTTACTTAACTAGCAACTTTACAATATATTTCTAAAACTTTATCTACAACATAACTACACAAACAAAGACAGATCCTGCTAATAGCACCTCCATGTTGACTGCCAGTGTGTTCTCTGATTGGATTCCATGAGGTATGCTGTGATATATTTGCTACTATGGGTTTCATTAACTCAAATATAGTAATGTTCTCTGACCATGGCTGGCTGTTCTCGGAGTGGTCTTTTCAGGCAACGTTCCAACATTTACTGACCTTCAAACTAGATTTCTTGGGCATCCTTTAGCTGTGGTATGCCATATCCTAGAGCACAGATCCTCTTGATACCCACTTTCCCATAGTCTCAACAGACACCGCCCATGATGTTTATTGGTAGTAATGGAGCATGTTATGGATGTAGTATTTACAATAGCATTGTGCTGACATTGATGACAGATTCCAATGGTTTCCTTTGGACATGGTACTCCATAATGCACTCCAAGGAGCTAGCCAATGCCAGTCTTCCAACAGGGCAAAGAATGTCTACCCGCAACCACTGGTTGTAGAGATACCACCTATTAGGAAGGCTGAATTTACATTTCTAATCTGCTGACCTTAATACCAGCTTCCTCAGGTGTCCTTTGCATGCGGTACTCTATACCCCACTGCATAGGTCTACTCAATACTGGCCTTCTAACAGTCTACAGAACCTCTACCTACCATTATTACTTGTACACCTACAGGCTGTTATAGATGGTATTTTTTCTTATAAAGTTTTAGAAAGGTTCTGAGCAGGTACTGAGTTTGAAATAAGATTGCTTGCACAATCTTTTGACATAATACACTATACTTGACGGTATTGACCCACCTGATCCAAGCTTTCCTATGGTGTAATGATTGTCTACCTATGATCAATATTGGTAGAGGTGCAACCTATTCTAAAGGTAGTATTAATATTAGTGATGTGCCAATTTGGACTGCAGATTTCTCAGTCACCCTTTGGACGTGGTACTCCATACTCCAGTATATAGCTCTACCCAATAGCTGCGTTTCAATGGTCTAAATACTCTCTACCTGCACGTATTATTCATAGACTAACTGGCCTTTATGCATAGGGTCTTTGCTTGCAAGGTTTTAGCTAGATTCAGACTGTGTGCTGGGTTTGACACCAGACTACTTCAGCATCCTTTGAACATGGTACTCTCTACTCTATAGTGTGGATCTATCTAACCTCGGCCTTCTAACAGCATACAGGATATCCACTTTGGATCAATACCAGTTGCGGTACAACTGGTCATAAAAGTGGTCTTTGCTGGTAAAGTTTTGACTTCAGGACAGTTTGCTTCACTGGTGAGCTAAGCAACTGGTAGATGGAGTTTAATAAGCATATTACTATGCATATTTGTATTTCAATAAGCTATACTATCTACCGCAACTTCATGAATTCAATTATGAGCTAGATGATAAAGTAGGACTTAGGGGACCCATTATAAACATGTGATTTTGGAGTGTTTGGTCCAGATTTGGTTGATAATTGGAAAAGACTAAAATTTGATATCGTGTCCCACCTGCATCTTGACAATATAGTCTTGTGCCTGGTTACACCATGGAAATTTAGAGTCAATCCTGTTGCACCTGATTGCATTGTGTGATTTTCTCTATTAAGTTAGTTATGCTTGGACGCTACTAAGATTTGACATCACAACCTGAGTTGCGATCAATATTCTATACACTCTGTATACCTGACGCTGTGCACACTGTGAGTATGAGCCTATATTGTCTTGATGTGGTAGTATTGCATTACCCTGAGGCTCTAAGCGATAGGCGACATTGGAAGTTGCCACTTCACATGGTGCGCAGTATGTCATTTCCACAATTGGACTCTGTGGATTCTTTCTGCACAGAAAGAGGCAAGGTCAGTCCAGGAATTCACCAATCAGGGTAAGATTTACAAGTCCCTCTTACATTGTGGCCAGAATATCTGAATCCATTCAGCAATTCTATTATTGGAATATAATTTGTTTGTCTCTGCCTTAGTAGGTCCAGTAAAGAAGTAGGTATGATGATATTCATGCCCTTCAACTGCTTCTTGTTGTTTGATAGAATAATGATTGACATCAAGTAGTCCATCAGATATCAGGGCTTGGAAGTGACAAAATGAAAAGTGTAATTTCTGGGTAGGATTGGCAACCATTATATCCTCTTGTTACTTATTGATACAGTAGGAAGTAACAGCACTCCAGTGGTCTCGAGATCAAAGGTTCTACCTGTCAGGATTTCAAATACTGCACAAAAAGGCAGGTACACAGGGTAAACAATACGTGATGTAAGGTGATACTTGTCAGTAATGACCCAGCACACATGAGCTATGGTAGTCGGAACCAACACCCATACAGGTAGCTTGGAGGCGAACTGGTAGGGACCAGCAGGCAAGTAAGTACTGGATCTATGGAGACCCGATGGCCCAGGCTTCGAGACTGAACAGAATTAGCTGCCCAGGTACTTAGGTACCTGGGTACACCCGGGAGAGGTGTCAGGGTACTTAGGGACTTCTGAAAAGGCAGTTGCTCAGCAGGGCCGGGTAACTGGAGACAGGTCAGAAATGTCTATCACCAGTGATGGGATAGACAGGGTAACAGGGAAAGGTTATCTTGTCCGCAGGACAAGGTTACCCTACCCTCGGGGTGAGGTTACACTGCCATGGGGCATGGGTTACCCTGCCCAAAGTCCTGAGTTACCCTACCTTTCAATATGAAGTCTCACAGGAAGTTTGGGAAAAATGACCAGAATGTTGGTCATGTAAAGCCAGGCATAATACTGGAATCTGGGGTTCCGGGAGATGCTATTGGGCGAGCTAGGCAGCTCCAAAGAAGCTGTAAATTGGAGACATTATTGCTATCATACACCTCCGGCCCCGCCTTAAGGCCCTGACGTTATGTGGGAACGGTTGCGTAGTTGTGTGCAGTCTAGGAAAGTGGAAGGTTTGGAGACCTGCTTGCAACACCGTGTACATCACTGCGGTCCGGTTGACTGTACGCTGTTCGCAGAATATACAAGGGGGCATAGGGCGGAAGGTGGAGTACCTCCTGCAAGTTGTGCGCAGTATAACGGACCAAAACCGGCGGAGTTAACAGGAGTTAACCGTAGGGGTCCTGAAGCTAGTCTAGGGTGGGGCAGGGGTGGCGGGGAGAGTTTTACACCTACTAAGCCTGAAAGTGTCCCCAACCTCATAGGCTCTGAAAGGGACATGCAGAGATACTATAAGCATGATTCCTACCACAGGTAAGGTGGGTCTGAGGTAGTGGTCATGGGTAGCGCCCACTGGACCCCTTGCGGATCACCATCCTCTGCTGAAGATACCAGAAGCCCGAGAACCGGAAACTGGAGATAGATAAAATGCTCACGGTAGCTTCTGGGGCCAAGTAGGCACTAATGCAAATAGGAAAAGTGTCATAGATAGTCTAGGTCACGCGGCGTCTTCAATGTTAGCCACTGGCAAGACGCTGATGCACAGAAGTTTCCACTCCAGCAGCCAAAATGGAAATGCACTGCAGAAACGATAACGGCATAAGGTGAACGCCGACCAGAGTGTGTCGACACATGCATGCCCGAAGGGTATGCCT